GAGAGAGAGAGAGAGAGAGAGAGAGAGAGAGAGAGAGAGAGAGAGAGAGAGAAAAGCAAGGATAAGTGTCGCGACGGATCTATATTGATTGTCACACTGAGAGTTCCAACTATTTTTAAACGATATATTTTTTTTCACTATGATATCTTAATGTTGCTCAAACATTGCAATGAGTTAGGCAACTAATTCCCAAACGTTTGCGCATACCAGGGATACAGTATAACCACAAATGACTTAACAGTGGATTGAACGTTGGAACAACGTTGAAAAATGTTTGTCATTTTGATTTGGAAGTCTGCAGCGAAGTTTTGAACGTTTCTTGTGTTGAAGTAAGGTTCAACACATGTATGTTTATCGGTCAAGGTTAGAAACCGGTGTGTGTTAGAGAACTGTTGTTACTCGATACAGTCAACTAATTTTCAACACAAGGGTGTATAAAAACATAAATGGGAAGACATGGATTTTTTTCTGTTGGAGATCGGCCTATGTTTCCTACGGACCGTTGCGGTAGCCGACTCTTCACCCACGGACTTGTCTTCGGAACCCCGTGTGGTACGGTTGCTGGACGAGTTCGCCGACATCTTCGAGTCACCTACCGTTGTGGTGTCAGGTCGGCCGATCTCTCACGAGATCATTCTTGAGGCCGGTGCTGTGCCGCCGAAAGGTTGCATCTATCGGATGAGCGAGGAGGAGCTTGAGGTCCTCCGTGCACAACTCGATGATTTGTTGGCCAAGGGCTGGATCCGCCCGAGTAGCTCCCCATATGGAGCACTAGTTCTCTTCGTCAGGAAGAAGAACAAGGATCTACAATTATGTATCAACTACCGCAAGCTCAACGCGCAAACCGTCAAGGATGCGGGGCCTCTCCCTCGCATCGATGATCTTCTCGAGCGGCTGGGCGGTGCGAAGTATTTTTCCAAGTTGGATTTGAAATCAGGATATCATCAAATCTCGATTCAGCCGAACGATCGCTACAAAACCGCATTCAAGACGAGGTACGGGCATTTTGAGTGGGTGGTCATGCCTTTTGGCCTCACCAACGCCCCTGCGACGTTCCAGGCAGCGATGATCAATGAGTTCCGTGCAATGTTGGACCGGTTCGTGCTGGTCTACTTAGACGATATTCTCTTCTACAGCCGGACATTAGAGGATCATCTTGGACATCTTCGACGAGTGTTGGAGACGCTCCGCCGTGCCAAGTACAAGGCCAACCGCGGCAAGTGCGAATTTGTCCGGCATGAGCTGGAATACTTGGGCCATTTTGTCACACCGGAGGGCATCAGTCCGCTATCGGACAAGATTCAGGCCGTCCAAGAGTGGTCGGAGCCTCAGAACGTTACGGATGTCCGCTCGTTCCTCGGTCTTACCGGCTACTATCAGCGTTTCATCAAAGGCTACTCCAAGATCGCGGCCCACTTGAACAAGCTTCAGTGCGAGGATCGACCGTTTGACTTCGGCGAGGAGGCGCGAGGATCATTCTTCGCTCTCAAAGCCGCGCTATTGTCTGCGGAGGTCTTGCGAATCTACGACCCGCTCACACCTACGCGTGTTGCTACGGATGCGTCAGGCTATGGCATTGGTGCAGTCCTCGAGCAACATGATGGTGTGGACTGGCACCCGGTCGAGTACTTCAGCAAGAAAGTGCCCCTCGTGCATTCCATTGATGATGCACGCTAGAAGGAGCTCCTTGCCTTCGTCCACGCGCTCAAGCAGTGGCGGCACTTCCTCCTTGGCCGAAGCCAATTTCGATGGGTAACGGACAACAATCCGTTGGTCTTCTACAAGACCCAAGACACCGTCAACAGCACCGTCGCTCGATGGATGACTTTCATCGACCAGTTCAACTTCTTTCCCGATCACACTCCCGGGAAGTCGAACCGTTTTGCGGATGCTCTCTCACGGCGTCCGGATCATTGTACCGCAGTCTACTCGACGTTCGAGATTGACGACAACCTGCGGAACAGCTTCATCTGCGGCTACCAAACCGACCCTGAGTTTCACGACAAGTACGCGAATTGCTCCTCTCCTAATCCGGCTCCTTCTCACTACCGGATCCAAGAGGGGTACTTGCTTGTCCACACACGGGGGAAGGACCTTCTT